ACGTCTACATTTTTTGTTGCAATAACGACTTTATTTTTTAAATAAAACAGTATGGAGAGAAGGTATTACAAATTACTTATTCTTTTTTAACATTTTGTTCACTAAAATTATTTCATTCTTTCAAAATAGTTACTGTAACTGTATTTTCACTTACAAAAAATTAACAAGTTTTTGAGAATAATTAGAATTAGTTAAAGTTTTTGTAAAATTTGTAACCGGTTTAGAAGTAAGATAGAATATATGAGGTTGATGCCAAATCAGTTGCTGTTGTTCTGACATACTGCTGATATCAATTTTTCCAGATGGCGTTAATGGCACAAATTCAGTAGAAAAATATTTTACTGATTCACTAAATATCATTATGCATATTTTCTTGTGTACTGATGAATTTTATCTAAGAAATAAAACTTTACAAAAGATAAATAGATATTCATTCATCTCAGGTATATATTATCAAGTAACAAAATACTTATAAAAATTTTGATTAATTGAACTTGATACTATTCTACTGTAAGTATGAATAAATGATTCAGTAATCATCTTACTCTTGTGATGATAGAATGACTGTGAATGACATGAAGCACCGTGGAACGAATGTACCCAAATAATTGCAAGAAAATCCACTTGGGCAAACACAAGTTTGTCCATTTGGCAATTGAAGGTCTCGATTAAAATAGTCTATAAGTTGTACTTGTACCATAACATTTGCTCTTTCAGAAATGTTTGATAATCCTAGATTATAATCCTGGAAAATTTTTTTAGTACCAGACAAAAATTAAGAAAGTTTGGTTTATTATTTATGTATTTCTTTTTTCAAACTCAAAAATGTAATGACTGATTGAAAATATGTTACAAATCAAAAAAAAAAAAGTTTCAGATTAAAAGAGCAAAAAACGAATTATTAATTAAATAAATTTCATTACGATAAACACTGACAACTTGGCTTGGTTGGAACATTTTTGCATTTGGATAGATAGCTCCAAAATCATTATGTTTGCTATAGATGTGATTTGATGGATGAAAAATCTGGAAAAGTACTCTCAAAATATATACAGTTAAATTATGCTAAAGTATATAATAATATACTTAACTTTATAAACTTGACAGATTTAGCTTAATTTTTCCTTATATTGTTATTTATGAAGTTCATGCACGCCTTCAACTTTCAAATGCTATTCAAATAATTTGTAAACAACAGTTAATTTTAAAATGTAATCCCTCACTTCACATTTTAGAAAGAATCGTTTCAGTTGTTTAATTGCGGATAATTATTTTTTGGTATAAATGTATGAATTTAGTATAATTTGGACATAAAATATATTTGCTTTCAATATTTATTACTTCAACTAATAACTGATTTGCTGTGATATGTCAAATTAATGTCATAATTACTTAACGTCACGTGATTAAAACTTTGAAATATAATTTTTTTAACTATAGATGAGTCATCTTTATTCAAAAAACAATTATACAACCAAAATATCTAAAAAATTTTATGATTCATCTTCAAAAATTAACCAAAAAAATATTTAGCACGTATCTTATTACATTATTTATATCTAATAAAATAAATCTTTCTGATTTTTTGTATGAAACCATTTCGATTTTATTTAGTATGAAAATTAATAATATTCAATGATAAACTATCTCATCATACTTTTTTTGGAAAAATTATCAGTGAAAATATTTACCGGACCAGTCAAGTTCATGATATGATGGTTCATATCTATCTCAGTGGTCAATTTTAGATAAAAAAGTATAAGCGATAAAATATGCGTATATATTCTTGCCATATCTTATTCAGTATTTGTTATAAATTTGCTTCTTGTTAGCGCTAGCTAATTAAATTTCAAATTCATCAACGGGTCAAATGTAATCAATCTTCTGCCAACTTCAACCTAAAATTTGTTTTATTTCTCGTTTGCAGTTATAGATCTAAGTAATGATCATTACTGCTGATTATTATCTAGTGCAAAAGATATCAATAAACATTTACTTTGAATTGATAATAAGTAAGGCTAACAAAAAAATTTAATAATAAGCAAATAAAACACGGCCTTATAGACAATATCATTTTCTTCCACAGCATTCAGCTTCATTTCATTTCTATTACGAAAATTAAAAGCAGCAAAAAATTTTTTCTACATAGAACTTTTTGAAAATACACACATAATTATTACACAAACAACAAAAATATCAACATAACATTCTGTAATCATAATTTCTTGTTGTAGTCATTTTTTCATTCGTAAAATTCAATTAAAAATATTTTTTTACTAAACTGTAAATTTAATAATAATAAATAAATATAATAACATTTACTGTTCAGCAGAAAAAATAAATAAAAATTTACAAATAAAAGCCAAATAATAATTATTAATAAAATGTGCCTAAATGTTTATGAATGTACAAAAAATTCAAAAGAAACATATTAGACGAGTGAAAGTCAAGATATTTCAAATAATTGGAAATGAAATGATATTCAAATGCTTATCAGCAATAAAACGATAATTCTATCAATTGTAAGTATGAAAATTTAATAAAATACTTAAAAACGAAGTATAAGCACTGAAATAAAGAAAACTTGAAGATAATTAGTGAGTGATAAATAGTGAACACAATGTTGATTTACTTTTGATTCAAAGTAAGAAAGCTGTTTTACAATATTTGAACAAAATGCAAAAATGATGACTGCTCACTTCTAACTTTTGCTTATCGTTGTCGTCAGTCATTCATATAGTGGGGCGAAATGAAGGCTCTATCAAGAACAGCTTGTTTGTTCAATGATTCATAAAAAGATGCTCTCAAATCAGACATTATTTTACATTGCTCAACTCATTTGTTTCACTAAGCCTAGGAAATATTTGGTCAGCTTTCTTTTGATTGTCCTTATACCATCTTCCAATAACCTTTACTTTGTGTGACCATTACTTTATATGCAAACAAATTATTGACCATTCATACTATCTACAAATATTACTTATACATTTTTTAAAATAACTTCAAAAAAAAAAAAAAAAATTACTGCATCTGACTTCATAAAATTCTTAAATTTTAAAGCGATTCTTTGGGTTTTTTAAGCTTAATTTACTGTCTACATACTCAGCACGAAATGAATTTTAGTGCAGCACATCTAAAACAGTTATATTTTGTAAAGTGCTGTCAATTTTGATTTGCTTGATTACAAACTAATTTGTCTATAAAATGAAAAAGGTTAATTTTTTATTGCTTAATAATAAGAAAATACAACTAAGAGCCTAAAAAAATACCATGCAAGTAAATGACTGTAAAGTGAAAAGAGCATCAATTTAAGAGCCATAACATCAAAATTTTTGATCAGAATCCAAAAATGATTTCATATTTTGATGCCAAGTTTGACAATACAATAAATAGCAAAACAATACTGTCTTCTTAAATTAAAAAAAAAAAAGATGTTAATCTATTAACAAGCGCGAGACAATACACAGAAGACAGTTTTGAAAACCATACATTTATAATGTTAAAACCGTATATAGTGAATTAGTGAAGTTCAAAGCAAAAAAAAAAAAAAATTATAAAAGCAAGAACTGCTAGAAATAAACACTGCTAAGTAAAAAGCCACAATAGACAAAAATAATGAAAGACATTATTTCCTTGAGATAGGAAAGAGGTTTAAACATACATATTAAATCCATCTTTTCATTAAGATGAACACTTATGCCAGCAAGAAAATATCTTTAACATAAATGCATCACAAAATATAATCAATTGACAACAGTACTGTACTGTATTAGACGCATAACTAGATTAGAAATATACTTAACTGGACGTAAGTATTGTCAGATTTGATTTAAAATATTCAGACAAGTTTTCCGAAATCACATATTTTACATCAGACAAATGAAATTTAATTTAATAAAATTACAAAAAAGTCATTATTTTCGAAAAATCTAAAAAAGCAAATTTTAAAATCACGATATACCAATTTCAAAACCTAAAAAGCAGAGGTCTTAGAACATAATAATTCGAAATTTTTTAGTTTAAAGATTTAACACCGACAGTATACTTCTATATCCCTACAGATCCAATGTTCGGAATGAATTGACATTGAGCGATGTCTCAGCAGTTACTTCAGAATTTAGAACATCTTTAGATGAACACTGATTAGGTTCAGAAGAATTATCAGCATCTTCACGTAGAACACTGTTATTTGAGCATACGTTATTGCAAGTAATTTCTTTTAGTAATGTATCCTGTTTATAACGTCGTTTATCATAAAATCTAAAAAAGCTACTTAATATTACGCCCCAAAAATGCTCCGATGATCTTTAAAATGTACGACTTATAGGTATCGCATGAATTTTACGAAACCTAAAAAATTGTCAGGAGTAGAACTAGCTAAGATATTTTTTCTTTTTTGCGTGAAAATACCCAGGACTTTTTTATCTCGATCAAAAATTTTCAAGTCTTGAAATATAATTATTGAATTAGTTTTTCTGTATGTTGAGCAAATCATAGATAATGAAAGATAGACGAAAGTGTGATTTGTCAAGCCCTTTAGTTGTTTCAAGAACCAATAACAGATTATTCTGGAATTTCTGATCTACTTCTATTTTTGATAAAAAAAAAAGATAAAGAAGACAACCTCTGAATAATTCCACGTAGTATGCTTCCAGGCAATCTTTGATGTTCTCTTATTAAATCATGGACTTCTTCTTTTATTACTTTTTTCACGTCTTCCGGATTCATATCAGATGAAAAATAAAGTGGTTTGCCCAAATGAGTTCTGAAAACAACAAAGTTGCAAAACCAATAACTTCTATTTTTCGAATTTGTAATTTTACATCACAAAATTCATTGCATTATAAAGTATGAATTGGTTCACTATATTAGTGAGATTCACTGCATTACTTTCAGCCAAAAAATAAATGCAATAACATTGATGACAAACGTTTTCACATTGATACCATTAGATTTTATAAAAAAACTCTCAAAAAATTATAAAAAATATAAGCCCTGAAAACAAACATCATTTTGACTGGAAAACCTCCATAAACTGGACAAAGTGGTAATCGTGTTTTTTCATAAATCCAACGAAAAATACCTGAAAATATATGTTCATAACTGTCACTAGATTTCTGTAATCACCCGAAAAAGGAAGCAGTAATTTGCCCAAAAAGTTAACAGAAAAAAACATTCTTACTTCGTCCACAACGCGGAGTACGGAAAGCATCACGACAATTCTCCGTAAACATAGGAATTACAGCCTAGAACTGCATAATAAAAGATATATAAAATGGCAAAATCAGAGAAGATTGGAATTCATAATTTGATGAGAGCATATTTCTAAAATTTTCGATTTTCATTCCATTTAAAGCTTTATAAAGTGTGATATGAAAACAAACCGTTCCAGGACAGCCAATAATAACTTTGGCAAATCCCAATCGCCGAGCCCACATTATGTTGTAACGAATAGGATCGGAGAATAATGCCTCACGGACACCACCAGGAGCAATACACATCAAGTGTCCATCTTTCAAACGTGCTATACAATCTTCAACTGTTCCGGGAGTTATATAAAAAACTTTGCAAATCACTCCCCAACCTGAAACAACTTTTATTTACAATGCATAGAGCTATGAGAACAACAATAAAAATCGTGATACTTATTATAATTATCATATAAATTTGTACACCATGTGAAAATTGTCAGACTTGGGAAATGAAAATGATTTTTTGAAAACTCTATCTATTCTAAGTTAAGCATGAAAGATTAATTGTAATCACAAGGAGAAATTACATACCAGGCATTTTAAAAATGAATTTGTCGCCAACACAATGAAGAGTACGCTTTTTATGAAGCATACATTTAGCAATAACATAATAAACATCTATAGGTAATGTGCCATGATAATAAACAAAAAGAGCTGGACCTTCACTAGGTACATTTTCTAAGCCTCTTATTTCATAGCCTGTAAAATGATGCCATGAAATCATTGAGGTATCAATAAGTATACACATTTTCCACATAAATTCTGAGAACTTTTTCAAATTCCTTCTTGAACAACTTCTATTTGTTTTTTGGCAAATTTAATAAACTTTCACTGATTGCACTCCGAATATTAAATAGAGCAACCAACAAAGTTTTTTCGGAAATAATTTTCTAAAAGTGAATAAAACAGTGAGTCATAACTTATTCTGTTCAAATAACACATATCAATTTAAAGGATTTTACTTCATCGAAAAAAAAGATTTCAAAACTAAATTTCCCTTCATTGAAGAAAAAAGTGTATAAAGTTTACCGTGCCAAACATAACCAACAGCATCCCAAAACGATGCGATACTTATACGTGCACCATCCCATAAACTACTGGCATATGCTTCTCGGATACGATTTCGAAGCCCATATATATGAAGAAAAAGAACACAACCATATATCAAAAAAAGCAGAAGAACTGGTAGTAAAAAAGCGACCAACAATGGCAGAAAAAGCCAAGCAAGATACTGTAAAAATGAATATTCGAAAAAAAGCAAAAAAGTCCTATATTAGAACCAAGCTACAATACTAAGAGCTTGAAATTGAAGGAAGTCTGCGGCAGAAATGGCATGAACAGATTTACTAAAATCCTAGTGCTAGGAAATTCAATGATACTTCCAAATAATCCCAATCGATGTAATCAATAGCCCATGAAATCCACAGAAGCAGTACTTCCACATACGGTTGAAACCATGAAGGCCACTGCATATTTTTCAGTAGTAATAAAATATAATTAAAGAACATGGATATCAACAAAATACTTGCTCCTAAAATTTTTAGGGTAAAAAAAAACAATTTTTAGTTCAATATATGAATGACATTTTCTGCAGTGCAGTCATAAATACTATAAGAATCCAACAAAATAAAACAGCTACAATTATAATATATGCTTAAGGGAACTGACTAAAAATACCAACTGATGAAGTGATTTTTATAATGCTTGCATGTGAATGTGAATGTACATATTTAATAACAGGCAATCATATTTTAAAAATACACTTTTCTGAATCAAAAGTTGTACTACTTTAAAGACTTAAAATGAAAGTGCGGTTACGCATACTTGTCGTCTGAAGTATATTAAACGAAGTTGGAAAATACTTTTACAAAATATCAGATCTAGAACTAGATTATAATCCATACTCCTCACCCAAGCACGTAAAATTTTAGATGTTTCATTCCCAAAAACGCCTCTTGCAGCATCCATTTCCCACATAAAAAATTTACAAGTTTTGGTTCCATATTGAATATGCGATGTTTTCTTGATCACATAGAAACGAAAAATAAAGACTTATAAAACTGCTTCATGCGCTAAAATATTTAAGAAATCTAGAATTTTACATTGAAACTATTCAACCAAAGTAGTAAATATATAATATTTGAGTGACTTTATAAAGGAAATGAATTCGGAGGTGACCTACGGCACATATCAGTCTATCTAGACAGTATGATAAACGGTCAATTTTAAACAATATTTTAAATAAAATTTATGTAGTTTATGCTCTAAAAAATTGAACAAAAGACAATATACCTCATTAAAATAGCACGTTATCTTCTTAAAAGTGTCATCCAAATAATGCGTAACTTCTTCAGTTTCTTTCGTTGAGAAACTAAAACCATAAACTGCTGACATAAACAATAAGAAATAGAATCTTCTGCAAACAGACAGTAACTTTGCTGTCAGAAAGAAGTTTGAAATACAACTGAAATTGTTTTACTCTTGCACAACAATGTTTGGACCAGAATCGTATCGATGAAACCTAAAATTAAAAAAGAAATACATCAATATTCTGGATCGATCAGAATGTATTATTATACTCTGAACTTACAAACTACTTCTGAATAATTTTAACAGACTCGAATATTAAATATTTAAAATTGAAAATAAAAAAATACTTGTAGTTCACTGACTGCATCCATTTTTAATATAATATCAAGTGTATGAAGAAATCAGCCATTAGTTTTGGAACAACTATAACGAAAGTTCCCGAAAACAGAATATAAGTCACTACTTTTTCACACAATATTCGTTAAATTTAAAAGTTTGTTCACAAGAAAGATATAAAAGATAAGTATAAATACGTGACTAAACAATGCATTCCAGATATCAACAGAACAAAACTTGTCTGAACTGATCCGTTATTTTTGAAAGAGATGAATAATTGCAGAGACAAATTCATGAAGCAAAATATTTGTGCAGTTCTAAGGATAATATTTTGAGCACACATTTTATTAAAAAAAATATATTGCTGCCAAGTACTGTATATATCAAGAGGAAATAATTAAGAATCAGGTAAATGAGTTGTTCTAATACAAACAATACTTTTGTCAATACAAATACCATAACTACATTACAATTTTAGACCATCAGATATAATAATGGACATTTTTTTCGCATAGTACTTCTTGAAGAAGTAAAAAGAATAGAGCCATTTACAAAGAAAAAAGTTATACCTGCAACATTATCCATCACACATTATCTGAGTACATTAGAAAAAGAAATTTTTATCTGAGTACATTAGAAAAAGAAATTTTCAAAAACCTGTTGGTTGATACTTAACAAATCTTTATCTTTTAAATTATAAAGATTAAATAATGTTGGTATTCATCAAATTTGCCATTTAAAAGAACTGCAAACTCGCCATCATATTTATAATGTTTGATCAAGCATTCAAATGGCAACAAAACTGACTAGAAGGTAGTATGGAACAAATATCATTTGAATAGTTTAAAAGAGCTAAATTGCCAGACCACTTTCCATTATCGTAAATGACTATATTACAACCTGCCTCATCAAGTTGGAGTTCCAGTTGTACAGTTTCGAAATCTTGTTCTTCGTTATCACGTTCAGCTCGAACTATCATAATTCCCCCATCTCTTTCACCACATATAGGGATCCATAACTTGAATAATACAAAATTATACGACAAATAAAAGTTGAATAAACCCAATGTAAACTTTCCAAAACCGTTTTAGAAGATTAAAATTTATAATACTAACCATATTTTTGACTAGGAATTTACTTTATTACGAGGTTCATAAAAAGCAACAAAGATTGCGAAAAAATATTTCTACCTCAGACTTTCGTCCGTCTATGTAATTTTTACTTCTATCAATTAAATCAATTTCACCAACAGTCAAGGGTAGACCCAACATGTCCATTGCTTTCTTGTGTCTTGATAAAACCGAGAAAGCACCTCTGTAATTCTAAATTTGATGGCAGAAGAGAACAGTTTTCATAACAGTTTCAATTACTTTTAAAAACCTAATCAAACTTGATGCTCGAAGTCTAAACCAATTAATAATATTTTAATTGAATCTTCCAATAACTAGCTCATTCTCGATTGCAAAATTCAATTCTTGCACGCAAAGATTTCAATCAAAATAATTATACTTGACTTTGACATACTCTGCAGTCAAAGCACTAAGCATTATTTTATATGATATTTACAGTATTAAAATTTTCGTTTAGTGATAATCTTTCATTAAGGTATGCTACTAAACAAACAGTGCAGTATTCAATAACTGATTTTTCTTGTTTTTACCTGTAATGGGAGAATTCTCGCACCTTATTTTGTATTTTCTTACGTACATATATTTGGGTATAAACAAGTTGACAAAATAGGACACCCACACCGCTAGCAGCGATATTTACCACCGTGAAATATCTGCCATTTGATGGCATACGTTTGCTTAACTCTTTTATTCTGAAAGTTAAACAGTATTACAGTAACACAATTCAATAACTACAAAAATACATAACACCATGACAATGTAATCTATCGGCTCTTGAAAAGAAAACTAGCGATACGGTGCAAAATATGCAAACATTATGTCCCAAAATTTATCGATCCCATAGGGTGTTTATTATGTCCCAAAATTAGTCAGTGTTGTTGCTTATGTAATGAATGTATTTACCTTACCTCACTTACTTATACGGTTTTTCAGTTTTTGAATCATGCCGCATAAACGTAGACAGTCGAATAAGACCAAAAAGAGAAAAGGAAAAGATTTGGATGAAATTGTTCTTAGTATGAGTCTACCTAAACGTCAGTGTCTTGTACTCATACAAGTAAAGTTTGACCCTGACTTACCAGGTACTGCTTATTTTTATACTCATCGCTACATTATCTTCCTACTTATATCATCGGACTGATTTTGCACTTAGTTATTGAAGCCTTGTTCTGTTGTTGAACTCAGTTGTGGAGTTTTCGCATTTTTATTCCTTATTACAAACTTTCATTTAAAATTAGCAATAGAAACAGATAAGTTGTACTCTGTATTTGTTACATTCTCCATTTCATACAATTGTTATTCTTGAGATGTTAAGCTAACTATTATTGCTTAGGAAAACGTGAAGTGCCACTTTACAGGTGATGGACGATTTAGCTGTCTAGAGTGTGATCGTCACTTCATTAATTCTAAAGCTCTCAAATCTCATATATCTGGTAAAAGTATGTTTTACACTTGTTTTTTCTTTAATTTCCGTTAAAATGCGTTTTCATTATGGTAATAATTCTTTAGAATATTGCTAATTGTAGAAAGAAGTGTCTGGTATTTTCTTGTACAAATATTATAAAATTTAGCTGAAAGTCACTTAAAATTTACCATTATTTGTATTATAAAAAATTTTGTCTCTCAGATTCCGAATGACTTCTTATTTAAGGTCATCGGCAACAAATGAAACGTTTACTCCAAGTGCCGTATACTCAGAGGGATGCAGAAGAAGCTGTTGGTTTGAAGACCGTAAGCTCCTCATCTTGATCTGATGTACTTGTAATCATTGAAAAAATAATCTCGCATGCTTTGTCGCCCAACTGTTTCTTTATTTAACGACCTATGGAAATAAGTCTTATGTTCTACAGTTTTATTTACTGACCATTTTCTGTATTTTACGACCTTTGAAAATAGGTCTTATGTTTTACAGTTTTATTTACTGACATTTGACTCAGAACATTAATACGTTGTCATGTAAATCATTTCAAATCTTCATGCTGTGTTGCAATATTATATTGAAACATATAATTGGAGGTTCTTAAAATTTGCATCGTTCCGTTGCTTGTTGAGCTTAAAATCGAATCCGATTTTAAGTGAGATTTGCGGAAACATTTCTTTTTAAATGAGCTGCATGAAAGGTAACTGAGTCTAAATCTATTGGTTTACAAGTATTTCATGTTTGGAAAATATTTTATACCGAATTCCCTCCTGCAAGTTATATCCAATGATAAAACTTTTAGTTCTTCTCTGTCATTGATGTATGTATAAATATGCTACAAATCTAAACTGAATATTTTAAATAGTTGAGACACAGTTTTATTGAAATTATATGAATAGGGTTTTTACAGTAACATGAGGCAACATCAAATTTCTATTACTGTAATCATGGTGTTGGGAACAATAATATTGCAACCAAAAAGCTCTTTTTTATTAAAGTATTTGGTGACAAGTAGCGTTGGCATCACTTTTTAAATGCAATAGTTCCGTTAAGATTTCCTGAATCCGCCATTATTTGGACGCTTTTTGCTTCCGAAAGAGCCATTACGATTAAGCTGGTAACGGCGCCTCATTTTCTTCACCTTAGTCGTATATTTAAGTCGCATTTTATATTTCACTTCCTTTGCTGTCATTATTCCAAGTCGACGAAAGATGGGGAAACTAAATTGTATAAGCAGCAGGGTGGAAGCATAACGAAGTGGGCTCGTAATCTACAATAGTTGACTAATGATAGTGTCACTAGCTATGCATTCAGTCAGTAGGTTGTTCATAACCTAATTTGATTCCAAAAACTCATGACGGCAGTAATATAAAACCGTTGGTTACATAGTGACAAAGATCGAAATCAGGCAAATGACTAGTTTCCAAATTTATCTGTTGTCACTAATTCAAAGTATAGAATGGTCTGCTGTTTCACTTCACTGCTTACTTACGCGACAGAGGCAAATCAAGATACACGGCTTTTAAATAACCTTAATTCTGGATTTTCTTTCCTTTTCTTTTGGTGAAGAGTGAATTGCAAAAAAATTATAGAATGAAGCAACAGAAACTCGCCTTGTACATTAGAAAAGCTACAACAGCAACTCCTGCATTCGGAGGGACTGATTTGACTTTATCAACAACATAACTAGGAACAAGGCATTTTTCCATTAGTGAGGCTACGTCAAGACCGCTGAAATTGTCAAGAATTGCCAGTTTCGAATATGTAAATGGAATAAATGACAATCTAATCTAAACATAAAGGAAGAGCATAGAAGTGAAAAACTAACCTTTTTACGGCCATATAAAAAACAAGGAACCAAACAGCAGAGTTAGCAAGATGGATGGGAATAGCAATATACCAGTAACGTTTCAGATAATACTTCAGCCTTGCAAACAATCCGGTAGGCTTCTCTTCCTACAAAAAGATACTCAGGACCACTACAGCCTCTCGACAGCCTGAAATCAGGCTGCCTTGTCGAGAAAAAAAAAAGTCAATCCATACTTTGTGTTCGTTTTGAATAGCCTCCTTTGCCTTTTCCAGTTTCTCATCACTTTCAGGTGAATCATCAGGCGTCTGAAATCTCACTTCCGAATTTGAAATATGTCCGTACGCTATGAATATTAATTATTCATTTAAAGATCGAGATCAAAACAGGCTTAGAAATTATGTCTGGAATTGAGGAATTGAAGTACATCATATCATTGAGTACATTAATTTCTATCACGAATGGTTTGTAGACAGAATCTTAGTTCAAATAAACATACTGCTTTTTTTGTATGCAGGTACTTGATACTTCCGCTAAAAACATTTGTTTCATAATTCAGTATGTTTGTTGTATGTATTGACAAACGAAACTGTGGACTTCGTGGTGAACTAAAGCATGTGTCCTTTTGCAGAGAACAAGACAACAACCTGTTTAACCGGAACGATGAATTTAAAAAACGCTGCACATACTTGCTTTCCAAACCGACCACACCCGTTCGGATGCATGACGAAATGAACATCCTGGAAACTGAAATTTACAGTTTTGCCAAGTATCATTACATCACGATTGAACTCCTGGATTAACGCAATTTTTAAGCTGTGCAATGCAAGGCCTAGACAGAATGAAAGATTTTAATTACAGTCTTATTTATTAGATTCATAAATAAGAAAGCAAGTTTGTTCGGTCGACAGATAAACACATAAGACAATACTTTATAATCGTTAAAAACCCATGCAAATAAATAAAAATTTCCAAACGCATTATGAAAAATGGTAGGGGTGAGGTAAACAATGTGAAAAAATATGTAAATATGTATGGCACAAAGCAGCAATAATATTAAGGATCCATAGCAATTTATTTGAAAAACCCTTTTTATTCACAAATATTCCACGATACCACTGCTTAACATTCCTATCAGAGCTATCAATAGAAAAACAATAACGCATGATCGACATTCAAGCCATTAGCTGATTTTTAAAATGGTAACCGATATAGAGAATAAACAGAGATAACGCTGTAACAACAGTTTCTGATGCAACTGGAAATGATTTCGAGACACCCTGAAACATAATTCTTTATACTAAGAGAAACCATCTTGCGAAAACAGTGATGAAGGTAGACTGAAGTTATCAAAAATTTTAATAAACTGTACCTATATGAAATTACGATTTTATGCAGCACGGAAAATAAATTTATCTTAAAATGGAGTGATTAAAGTAAAGTAATTGAAATAAAAACATACAGGATGTTTAAGTTGGATTGTGAACAGTGGTTTTACTTTAGATGCATTATCATGATTTCTTTCCGCCTGAAATAAAATATGTTGACTCTGCGTATGTAAATTCACAATGAATGGTCTTCATTATAATGCAAAAAAAAAAAAGCACTAAAAATAGATTTAACAAGATCACAGGCACTATGATAAGATACTAAGCTATTCTTTCGTGCAATAAAATCGCATCATTTCAGTACATGTTCATGTTTTCACCGTTTTGCAGCATTCATTTGTTAAAATGTAGACAAAGAAACAATTTAAGTAAGCAACTACTTTGCGATAAGCAGTCAAACCGTCCTCATCATAGATCATAACATTGAAAACTTGAGCACTAGACTCTTCGTGCTCTAACTGCCAAGATATTTGATGCTTTGATGTTTCTTCTGAAACTGCTGCTTGGTGAACTTTTCCATTTATAATTCCATAAACAATCATATCCTACAAACCACTGCTATATTTTGAGCTAGTATACTCTATAAACTGGCAAGATAATATTTTAAACAGATTCAAAGAAAATCGAACCTTGACATTATTAGCACATTGTAGACTGAACTCAATGATAAAAGTTGTGCGTACATGGAAGAAAGCATCTGTAGTCGAAAAGGTAACAGCTGAATGATTGGGTGATTCACATTTGGTAGCTGGAAACAGAGATTTACATCACGACAGGAAGCCAAAATTTCTGATGAGTAATTTTTAACGAAAATGAAAATTTTGAGAGAAAATGAGAGAAAAAATGCAACTTATTGAGCATCTATTAAAATAAACTTTATAAGTAGCTTACCATTTGAAGCAGTGATTGCAATTGAAAGTAATGCAATTAAGACCCAAGTCATTACAAGCTAGTTTTATAACTTCTGAAAGCATTTGCAAAAAAGTTTACAACGCTCATAAATAATTGCGAAAAAAGAACAAAAAGTTGACTGTAAAAGTAGAAAAATACAACACTGACTGTATGTTTGAAAACATTAATAATATGTATGCAAAAATTTAATACTAATTATGAGCAATAATCTAAGAAAGCAAAAAAACTGTTCGAAAAATAAAACAAATATTTAATTTAAGGCAGAAAATTTTCTGAATGCTCAAGTTCCCTCATATTAAAATCAACCACGTAGAAGCGAAAGTCCCTACAAGCTTATTACATAACAATTATAGATGATTCTAAATACCATACATGATTACACCAAGCCGCTTACAAATAAGCCGGTCATTGCATTGCATGCAACAACTTCTGCAAGAGTGTCGTACCATTTTTGATTTAAACAAGTTTGAAGGCATATCTGCCTGCTGCTTATATTTGTTCATTTCTTTCTACTTATTGAGTTATATTTCTACTTTAAATGTCAGCTTATTAGTTTGAGGTCTTATCTGTAATCATTAATCAAATATATATTAAATATCATTTATATCCCTTCACATAACTTTCTTCAACAGCATCTGTCTTTCCATTGTTTTCATTTATGATTCCAGATGCGGACTTTTCCTTTCACCCTCCATTTTATGCTTCATGAACACATCCGCTTGGGATCAACCGCTCCACCTCGGCAAATCCGAGGACATATTATATATTGAAATAAAAATGTATAATATACTAGAATAAAACTCTATAAAACTAAATCTAGCATATATATGCCAGAATCGATAATAAAGAAAAAATATATATATAGTTATCATTGTAAGAAGGTTATTCTTGTTCTCTTCATTGATTCTGGCGCTGGATCGTATTCTGGCATTCTGGCTGCACTGGCCCCGCGCTCAGTTCTGCTGTGCTGATCTCCGCTGCTTCGTCCTCATCGAATCCACTGCGTTGATCGAGATGCTTTCAGTGTTTTCTTGAGTACTATCGATTAGATATATGCCTCAACGTGATAGATATATGACAAATGTAAAATCAACTTAGTAATCACACTTGTCAACCTTAACATTTTCAAATCTATACTCAGTGTGAATTTAACAAATAGAAATGTATTGTAATGACTAATTTTATAGCCTGTGCTCGTATGCCTGTTTCTGTATTACTAACAAGCACAAGCCGTCGACTTCGCACTATAATGAACGGTGCGCGTGCACTGATTGCAGTTTGTCAATTGACATCTACTCACGATATGGAATATAATTTCGAGATTGCTAAATCAATGATGAAACGTGCGAAAGAGCGTAACGCACAGGTTCTATTTTTAAATTTAAAGTTTCTTCTGTGCACTGATTTTTAGATTTCTATGTGGTGAGATTCAGCTTATTTTCATTCTAAAAAATTGACCATGTAAGATATGGGTTAAGATGAGAATTGAACAGAGGTTGCCATTATGAGCTAAAAAGACATAAGTTTGTGCTAGGTATTTGATTTCTTGAATTTTGTGAAAATATAAAAGTACTATCGAGATATTTTATGGAGGTTATTCTTCTTTTCCTCATTATTCATTCTGGCACAGGATCGTATCTTAGCATTCTCGCTGCACTTGCTGTGCGCTTAGTTCTGCTTGCTGATCTCCGCTATTTCGTCATTATCGAATCCACGGTTCGATCGAATGAGATGCTTTCGAGTATTTTCTTGCATAAATCGATTGGATATATGCCTTAATGTGATCATGCACACTGGTTTCGTTGTTGTAACGTTTCTGAAGTTCGTCATTGTTCCATCCCAAGTCATCACATAGGAATTATTATCGTTCTGCATATGGGGTTGCATGAGAATTATCGTTATAGTTCGTTACTTCTTTTCGCTTTTTGGAAATCGCCTGTGATGTGGAAAATTCTTCAGGTTATTAGATAACTGATCTATTTGAATGCTGAAATGTTATCTCGTATTACTACCATTTTCACCGTTCTGGCGTCGTTGATTGTCAATACCATAATGTTTATTGTCGCAACTGATCGCACTGGTATTTCCGCCATTCACTCCCATCGTTGCATCATAACATCGCCTTAACAGAAAAAAGAATAAAAACCCGAAACTACAAGAAAATAGTGCATTTCTTCCAAGATCAGGCACTATTGTCCACGATTACCTCAAACTTGAGTATAAAAGAACTGAAAATATATTCATTTTTGTTTGTATAAACTGCTTCATGCTTTTCAAATATAGATGATTTTCTTTCCCGAGTGTTTCGATTTTGTTGGGAGGAACCGTGAAGAAAACGAATCGCAAGCTGTGACAGAAGATGGCGATTATATCGGCCGTTATCGTCAGTGCGCCAAACAGTATGGACTCTGGCTAAGTTTGGGTGGCTTCCATGAAAAGGTTGTTCTTTGATCGAAGTTTGAGTTTTTGTCATGCAAAGAATTTTGAACTGTTTCTGAAATTTTCATTTTTAGAATTCTAATGAAGCTAGAAAGCCTTTTAATACCCATATCATCGTTGATGACCAAGGAGTAACGCGTGGACTGTATCGAAAGCTTCATTTATTTGATATAGATATTCCTGGAAAAGTACGATTAATAGAAAGTGAATTCTCTAGTCCTGGAAACGAAGTGAGTTTTGATTTTATGTATTTCACACCTGATAATCGTCTTTTTAACTTTTAAAGCTGACTGTATTCAGACTTGCAGATTCCAAAACCAATTTGCACACCTGTCGGAAACATAGCTATGTCCATATGTTACGACCTGAGGTTTGCTGAGTTGGCTTTGTGGAATCGTATGAATGGAACTCATATTTTAACGTATCCTGCTGCTTTTACCGTCAGTACTGGTATGTCACATTGGGAGGTATGCGATCATTAATTAATCATTCTATACATATTTCACCTATTTTTCACTACTCGTACTTTTATTTTAGGAAATTTCAGATCATTTTCTATTATTGAACTTTTTACCTAGACATTACTGAGAGCTCGTGCCATTGAAACGCAGTGTTACGTTGTTGCTGCTGCTCAGACTGGTAAGCACAATGATAAAAGGTCTTCTTATGGCCATACAATGGTTGTTGATCCTTGGGGAGCAGTAATCGCTCAGTGTTCAGAAGCTGTTGGTATTTTTAAAAATTTTTCGAAGTCTTTTGCTGACTGGATATTAATGTGAATAGTGTCTAGTAAATATTTGATTTTAGTATTTTAATTTCTTCATGTCATGCTGTTATTGTACACTTTATCAGTTTTTAAGATATGTGCTTTGCTGAAATATCACCGAATTACCTAGATGAAATTCGAAAATTGCAACCTGTCTTTGACCATCGTCGTTCTGATTTGTATTCTTTAGTAATGCTTCAGAAAAATGAAATTGGTTTGTTATTCTCCAAAAAACGTATAGTTGAATAAGTTAATATCTTTTATGAGACATCACATGTTTTGTCTGGTTATTAAATTGAAGAACATTCATTTCCTCCATTATTTTCTTTCAGGGAATGATGATTACGTTTTTGGAGACCACAAGATTCCATCTGAGCATGTTTTTTACCGTACATCTCATACATTCTGCTTCGTAAATCGAAAACCCGTTTTACAAGGACGTTAGTATTATAAATTAGCTCGACTATTTTATTTCAAATATGCTTTGCGATACTACGCAATTACTTAAGAAATTAGTATTGAAACTGAAACAAATTTGTTAAAGCTTGAAATAATTTTCATTTGAAGAAAATTTTATCGACTTTAATATTAGTGCTTTCTTCAGATGTTCTCATTTGTCCAATCCGATACGTTAAACGGCTCACTGAACTGAGCAATGTCGAAACTGCCGATTTATTCATCACTTCTAAAAAAATACAGGCTGTACTAGAAAGTTATTACAAAACAACTTCTTCGACAATTTGCGTCCAAGATGGTTCCGCTGCTGGACAAACTGTCTCAGTAAGTTCAGTCAATTTTTCAGACTGATTAACTATAAGAAGAAGAAGGGAAGTTGTGATATGGACCTTAGAATTAATTATCAAAAACAAAACATGATGTAAGTTGAATATCGTAAATTGCCTATTATTTTATGGTAACTGTGTTGCTTTGCAAAAATTGCATGTTTATTCAATGTAAAGCTTACTTAAAAGAGATTTGTTTTCATTTTGAGTTAAATAAATCATGTATTGATATTACCTTTAATAAAAATCAAAAAAAAAGTAAAAATGACATTTTCACAGATTGGTAACTTAAAAATTTTTTATTTAGATCAAATTTCGATTATAGGAAGATGAATGAGTGGAGGAAAAGTTACGCAATTTGAAACAGAAAACTATATTTAAAAAATTTATGACAAAGACAGGCATTGTATTAGAAGAATTGAACTCGAAAAAATATGCTCTCAAAAGTTTCCGTTTCAGCATGTGCACGTACACTTATTACCACGTACGAAAGGTGATTTAGGTGATGATCCTGATAATGTTTATCATCGGTTAGCCGAGCATGACAAAACAGATGACCAGAAGTTTCGAGATAGACGAGAAATGCAGGATGAAGCTAATTTGTATCGAAGTTTGTTACTTATTAAACAAGAATAGCGTCATTTGTTTGTACATATCTATTAGTGCAGTTATACGTGCTGTCATGCAAACAGTATACAACATTTGTTTGCTGTTTACATTTGATAATAGAATGCTAGAATCGGTCATTTGTGTCAATCATTTTCAAAGGAGTTATTTTAATTGTAAGTTGATGCAGTATATACGGAATTTTTAAATGTCGAACATGATATTGTTGATAACAATTTCCCGCATGCTATGTTTGATCATATATTCGGAACTTTATATAAAGTGTTTTAATATTTGTTCAGAACTTTATGCATAGCATTTGTTCAAAATTTTTTCGTAGCTTTTGAACAGCTACTATTCCGATGAAATATATACTTAATTTCCCTAATCCTGTTACTGTGAAGGAATGCTTAGAGAATTTATCCAGCTGAAATAACATTCATGTTTTGATTCATAGTTCAGTCTTTCATCTCCTTTTAATATATTGAACTTTATATTCGAAAGATTTTGATATATGTTTTCCAAAATAAAGGTTATATTTTATATTTTTGGCAGAAAGTACCCATCTATCATCGCTTCCGTGAATTTTATGATATATATGTGCAAAATTTGATAGTAGTTATTTACATAATCAAGCAATTAATATTCTGCTGGTTCTGCATTAATTAGTTTAGAAGTTTGAAAGGTTATATTTGCCAAGATTAGATTTGATTGCAAATGAAAAATATCAGTTTGGAAGCATTTTGAGTAAATGAAAATTAAATAAATTGAAAATAGAGGTCTAGCTAAATTTTTTTGAAATATCATCAAATTGTTGACTATGTTTCATGAAGTTAATTCTCATTGCTTTAGGCTTGGATTTTGCTGATTAAAGATGGAATGTATTGTTTGATCATTGTAGTGTATGGCGTTTCAGTATCAAATGTTTTGCTGTATGCAGTGAAATTATTGCTAGAGATGTAGTTTCGTTTCTTTAGTGACTGATAACGTTACTGTCAGTATTGCTGTATTTTATGTCTATTTATGTTTATCTTTATTGAAATGCTCGTTTGATGCATTTGTCATGTAGTTGAAAGAATCGTTTTTTGCATTCAAAATGTTATATTGTAGTAAGTTTAGACCATCAGATATTAAGAGTTATTTTTTTATGAGTTAAGCCTATTAAATGCAAATCTTCAATGCATAAAAGGGATACTATTTGCTTATTTGCTGTGATAACTTTGGTAGAGTAAGTTTATTACTTTGAAGTAAAAATAGAAAGGATGGCATTATGGCGCTACTTCGGAAGGTGTCGTGGAAGGACTTTACAAACATTTGTTTTATCAGCTTCATTTTTTGGAGTTTATGTATTTCTTTTTGCTCCAAAATCACAAAATGAATGGGAAGTCGGATTTGATGACAATAATATTGGAGCTGTGATTGAAAGGGAATCTGGACAAATTGAGAGTACGTTAATTTCTTAATCGAAAGAAATAATTCATGAAGCATTTGAAATATCTTTAGCTCTTTTGGGGTTTTATTTCTGCCCTGCCCTTGAATATCTATATTGTTTGTACTGCAAAATCTCTCATGGACGTGTTGAAATCGTATTTGGCGTTTCTAAAAGTTTCAGTGGCGAATGATGTAGACCCATTTATCACGTACAAAGGCCTTGGTAAAGTAGACTGGCATGATTATGAAGCGATGAGTCGTGATTCTTCAAGGCAAGGATTTGGTGAAAATGGCAAACCAGTTGTTTTAACACTGGACGGTAACGAGAAAGAGTCACAAGTAACACAGTTGTTTCTGGAATAAAAACATTTTAGTTATTTGAGAAATCAGGGTGTGAGACAGTTCTTTGCTCTGAATGTCAACTTGTTTATAATTTTCAAATGTCATATTATAGATTTAATCTGATTGATTAGCTGTTGATCCTTTTATTACATAGAAGTTTGTGCTCCTTTTGAGGAAAGTCTCTACCGTTCCAATGGCTACAACGCATACGTCAGTGATATGATTGCTCTCAATCGTTCAGTGAAGGATATAAGACATCCTGGATGCAGCAATATCAAATACATTGAAAAATTACCCAGTGTAGCAGTAATATTTCCTTTCTATGATGAGGTAAATCGTATTTCCATTGGGGACGTCATAATTTCTATGTTTATTTATTTAATTCAGAAATCTCACACTAATATTACCAAATTTTTATAGCACAATTCCACATTGCTAAGAAGTGTTTATTCCGTCATAAATCGGTCTCCAAACAATGTATTGAAAGAGATCATTCTTGTTGATGATGGGAGTACAAAGCCTTTCTTGAAAGCACCATTGGAGGAATTTCTGGAAAGGGCTGGTCTTCATCACATTGTTAAAGTCATTCGAACGCCGTAAGTCCATTTAAACACACACGTATTTCCAAACTTCCTGATATTTTTGAAGTCTAAATAAATTATAGAAAAAGAGAAGGATTGATTAGAGCACGTCAAATGGGTGCGAAGCATTCAAAATCGGATATTATGGTGTTTTTGGATGCACATTCAGAAGTTAATTATAACTGGCTGCCACCTCTAGTTGAACCAATCACATTAAATTATAAGTAATACTGTTTCATAATTAGTGATATGTAGTTATTTTGTTATGTATTTTTATTTTTAGCATAATTCAGTTTCTTGTCAGTCGAAACTTAAAAGAGCACTTCATTAATAATCAATAAAATACATTTATTTGACTTTTAAATAAAGCTACGCGAAAGTTTTCCAGAACAGTTGTTTGTCCCTTTGTCGACGTTATTGATTGCAATACTTATGAATATCGTGCACAGGATGAAGGTGCCAGAGGTTTCTTTTCACTGTATGTATTCATTTTATTAGAAATGCACAGAAAGAGTTTTCATTTCAGTTTTTAGGTTCTTTCGATTGGGAATTCAATTACAAACGCTTGCCGCTAACAGAGGATGATAAGAAAAATCCAACACGTCCGTTTCGTAGCCCAGTTATGGCTGGTGGATATTTTGCCATTAGTAGCAAGTGGTTTTGGGAGTTAGGAGGTTACGATGAAGGTCTTTATATATGGGGTGGTGAGCAGTATGAACTATCATTCAAAGTAAGTTTTAGTTCTTTGCTATTTTCTTTAGTTGTAAGAATTTATTTATTACTTCAAATGTATTTTCATTCGAGATAAAGTATTTTTCTTGCGACAGTTCGGTACTGACGTTTTCCTGAAAATACCAGTTTTTTTGTGAGTATTCACATAAAATATTAAAATAGTAATTTGTAAGAGTATATCACAATTAACTTTAATTTTCATTCGGATTTGGAAGTTGTTTAAATGACTTCTTTGTCAAAGAGTTTACATGAAGTTTACACCAAATTTTGAATTGGCATATTCGTCCATCCATACTTCTGTACATGAAGGTGTGGCAGTGTCATGGTGAAATGATTGATGCTCCTTGTTCGAGAGTTGGGCACATTTATCGTTGCAAATATGTTCCTTTTCCGAATCCAAATGTTGGAGATTTTATTTCCAGGAATTATAGAAGGTATGTTATGGGCTTTCATTTGAAAGCAGTGATGGTATAGTTGTTGACTTATCCATTTTCACAATTAAATTTTCAGAGTTGCAGAAGTATGGATGGACGAATATGCAGAATTTTTGTACAAACGCAAGCCAGCGTTGCGCAATGTTAATGTTGGTAGGATTTGAAACATTTAACAAGTGCTTCAAATTTTCATTATAACATTTCAAACAAAATGCGCTGACTTCAGGGCTCAAACTCCATAAGACTTTAAATTCTGAGATTTTGATTAAGTCTGAATATGCTGTAATTAAGCACTGTTTTAGGTGATTTAAGTAAACAGAAAGCAGTTAGAATAAAGCTTAACTGCCGGTCATTTGATTGGTTTATGAAGGAAATTGCTTTTGATCAAGACAAATTTTACCCGGCAGTGGAGCCTAATGATAGTGCCTCAGGTAATTCAGTTTCTGCTCGGTTTTTTGAATGTTCAAAATTACGACAGAAATGCTGAATTCAAAATGCTTGATTTTAAACTGCTAGCTTTTGAGGTGAACTTCGTAATGTTGCTACAAATACATGTCTCGATACACAGTACAAAGGTGCCAATTCAAAATTTGGTTTACGTAAATGCATGAGTGATGATCCCTCTAGTTATGGAGAGCAAGTAAGTATTGGTTTTTTGAAAACAGCATTTCTTGAACCAGAAATCCGAATGAAAACACTGAATATTTTTTAATTTTGAAGAATTTCCGACTCACATTTTGGCATGACGTGCGACCACGTTCACGATCTGTATGTTTTGATGTGTCTGTCTCAACAAATCGAGCACCCATCGTTTTATTCTCTTGGTAATGTTTGCTTTGTATTTTTAATTGTCCTTAGGTTCGCTGTAAAAGATAGTGAGTTTATGATGTTTATTTGCGTGGCATATTCATGTTAGTGTTGACCAAATTAGTTAAAGTAATTGCGATGAAACAGTAAGGGTCTGCCACACGCAATTTTAAGTAAAATAAGAATCCATTTTAGTCATGGTATGCAAGGAAACCAGCATTTTAAATATCTACCAGAAAAGCAACAAATGTATCATCCTATCAGTGGTTTATGTATGGATTGCGATACAGAACGTGGAGAAATTTTCATGAATCCTTGTGATTCGGAATTAAGTAGCCAAAAATGGACATGGAGTAAAATTGATTTGGAGTTAATCAAGAAACGTAACAAATCGTAGTAAGACCAATCATTAACATAGTTAATTATAGTAAGTTTAATTTATTTGTTGTGACAAAATATTTCACTTGATTTTATGAACGTATTTGTACTTATATAACTCAGTTTTCAGACAGTTCTTTTGTAGAATTTGTTCATTATCAATGATTCGTTGAGATTTTTAGACTACTTATGGCACTCATTTCTGTTGCTCAGATCATATTTACGATGTTTTAATACTATTCCATATTACTCAAATTTTCTGTTCTAAAGTTCAAAGCATTAAATTAAGCTCGAAACCCTCCCTCATTTTGGTTTCGTGAATATGTAACTCACTTTCCAACCAAGTCTTATCTACATTCATCACCATTTTTTAAGCATACTATCCAACTATACTTCTCATACTAGGGATATGCATTATTTTATGTATATAAAATTTGAGGTTCAAAGTGAAAGATTATTTTTATCAAAGGTGAACTTTTATTCGGTGATTATTGTAAAAAAAGTCTGTTACTATTGAAGCATGTTTGTTATTTATTGGTTGATCATCTCCTAAGTTAATAATTTGTATTAAATGCTTATTTTTTTAAATGGAACTAGTAAATATATAGACTGGCTTCTATTATTGCTAATTATTTGGTAGAAAAAATAACATTAAATTACATCATGTCATTAAACTCACGTTAGAGATGTACAAAATTGCACAGAATGGGACAAGATATTAACAGATTTTGAATTTGCAATGTGATTTTGAATTTGCAATGGAATCAAATAAAATAAATTTATAACAGATCTGAAATATATAAAACACTATTGTACGAGAACGTAACATTAAGATTTGCGTTTTATTAATTTGGCATCCCTTTCAGCTTACTGAACTGAATTTGGAAAAATGAAAAATATTTTGGTAGTTATAAACAGAGGGTGAAGCTAGTATTACTTATAGTGTTTGTCTAGTTGGTTTTTTCTCCTGTTATTACACGATATTGTGTTAGAATGGATAAGGGGTGTTGATTTAGTAGACATCTGATGTTTTTGCAATCTACTATAATGTTTTAAGTTCTTGCAAAGTGAATACACGTTGCGGATAAGTCGTTGAACACTTCCTTTAAGATAACTGGAAAGATATGCAGAAGCCAGATGAGCAAAGATGACTTGATGGAATGGCTGACTTACGTGAAGCAGCAAAATATTGTCAGTGTTGTTTTGCGGAGCAACTTGTTGAGCGTTGGTTTTGTTATCTTTTTTTTGTGATTGAAATAGTGCCCAGACAGTAATCATTTATAGAGATCCAAAGTGTCGTATTGTACTTCAATGAAAGCTGTAATCGTATGATTTCAAGTAGAGAATGAAATTACGTGATTCATTGTAAATCATTATACGTAATTGTTTCTCTATCCATGCATTCATCTATATCATTCGACATGGACATGACTGAATAAGTTTTCAAGCCAGGGTACAACATATGGTAGATTTGATGGATTCGGATTCAGCCAATGTTAAAATGAAGATATTTGTTGTTATTATCATCAAGAAGCTTTCATAAATACTGTAGCATAATAAAATAATGAAAGTAAATATTTAATATGCTTGCATTTCTGATACAATATGAAACTGTATCTCTTAGTTATGGTTTGCATAAATAATAAGCTTGTTGCCATTGTAGCTGTAAAAGTATCGCAAATGGTGGATAGATGGATAAATGAATGAATGATTGTTCAAGGTGGTTTCAGAAGATGATTTGAGAGGAAAGATAAGTTGCTTGATTAGTGAGAATATTTGTGACTTTCTTTTTTTGAGGATGGATCTGTTACTGTGCTAATGAGTTAGCTTGTCCATGTTTTTACTTTATTTTCTCTTACACATCGTCAATACTTTACTGTTTAAATAAGAAGAAACAGTATATCAGTAGTATATGTTGGCTTTTATTAGTACGGTTGTAAATTTTTTGTTGAGTAAGAAGTACAGTAGAAGATAAAAGTAGTTGTTTGCTGCATGATGAATGCCATTAATGTTGTAAAATAATAATTATATTTAATGGTAGTGAGATGAGACAGACGAGTGTACTGATAATTTGCAAAAAAAAAATTGATAAATATATGCTAAATGAATTAATTTGTTGTATTGTAAGCAGTCATGACTTGTCTACTTGTACTGTATTGCATGTATTTTTATTGCTGAAAATAAATGATTCAACTTTGTTGTTTTATTTTTGTATTATTATCATCGTTAAGTTTCATTTCTTATTGCTTTGCTATGTAATAAAATTCAGTAATGCTAAATTGCACTGCTTAAAACTTTTATTTTGCTACAAAAACGTCGTTGTTGACACGTGGATATTTGAGTTTGATGCATTTGATGGATAAATTATATATAATCGCAGTTTTGCAAACATACTGGATGTACAATATAAGAGAAGAATAAAGAGAGGAGATAAATGGTACTATTAAATATTACTATTATTATGATAATCATTGAATTGATTTGTTTTGTAAATTATTGACTTCCTTAATGAAATCTCAGCTTGAGGCGAGGAATAATAACTTTTTTTTAATTAGAAGAAAAGTATAAAAAATAGTATTGTACAGTCGTTTATTACAATTAATCTGGTAGTAACTGTAAACTTTTGGATAGATACCACAGAGAATTCTAGTTTATTGCTTTGTGATGGTTACAAAACAGTACAAACATATGAAGCAGATGCAAGTTGAATTTTATTGGAAATGCATGAAAATAACAATTGATAAGTTTTTATCAAACATTTAGTAGTTTTGTGTAGTTAGCACTAACTTGAAATGATTATGGCTGCCAAAATATTTTTGAAATTTAGCGTCAATTTTATCAGATTTTCAAAAATTTCTGTTTTAACAATTGTTGTGTGTAAAGTAATAATTATAGTCTCAGTGAAGTTAATTTTTTGCTGATTAATTTTGATTTAATGCTTGTAATCAGTAAATATAAATAACAGCTATAAACTTTTTATGTTATCAATAGTCTATTATTTTAAGTTATTTATCAAACTGATAATATATATCAATGTTATCAATAGTCTATTATTTTAAGTTATTTATTAAACTGATACTGATATATCAATAATGTTTATTGAAATTAGCGAATTGTGAAAATTCAAATTAATACTTTACATATTTATAATCATATTTTTGTTACTTTAGCTGAAAGTGCTACTTTTAACATTTATAATGCTGTGAAATAAATGTTATTATATTTTATGCATAATTTGTTTTGAATCAATCAAATCATTCAAAATTTACACATTAATTCTATACTTTTTTCAAGCTTATTTTTTAATAACATTTTGCAGTGAATGACATTCTGTACACTATAACATTTCGTCCTTTTAAATACATTTTCAATCAAATAGAAAGATTAATTTTTTAAAGTAAAAAAAAGAAATCAAAAGATCATACAATTTGTGATACATTTGAAGCATTGAGCAAATATTTCCAAAAATTTTTTCACCTAAAATCAATTTTGACATACTTACTGAACTATTTTTGAACTTTTTAGATTACAGACCTAATGATCTGTCTTGAATCAATGGGGCAAATTATTATAATGTCGTAAAATCATGAAATAAAAGTGATCTAAAAAAAAATAATGAAAAAGAATCATTTTTTTGTGCAAGGGAAAAAAATCAAAATTCCATCAATTTTAAAGTTAGAAATTATTTTATTTGTCTTTCTTGCTATTTGCTTTTATTATTTTTAGCAAAAGCAAATTGAATTTTAATTTAAAAAGTATATTTTGTAAATATTTGTAATTTATGATTGAAGTTTTTTTTGTTATTTTAATTTCCACATTTAATATTCAGTTAAATGTTTATTATTTAGCACACTCTTTTGATTTTAACTCATTTATATTCCTTTGGACAACTTTTTTTTTGCACTTGTAAATAGAAATTATATATTTTTATACTTATTATTATCAATCTTTAATATTTATACACAGTGCTTATCACTTTTCATTAAGCAATTAGCATGAATTATTCTACTGAAATGTTTGAAAAAACACTTTTGAACTTTTTTACAGCGTTTTTGAAAATTTTTGCATATTTTTTACACAATAATTTAGTATATTTCTAAGTGGTAAATAACTTTTGAAAATTTTAAAATATAAGAAAAAAGGAACTTACGATAGCATAACATCAACTCAAAGTTATCAATCGTAAATTTGCAAGTATTTTGTTGCAATTATTTTTAAAGTATAACAAAATCAGTCAGTGTTATTAATCAAAATTGAGTATAATTTGTGATAAGAGTTAAAATTTTGTACATTTTTGTAGTGCTACAGAAATAAGAATTTTTTTTTTTGTAACAGAAAATTAATTATTTAATAGTAATTCGTGACAGTCACAAAGATTAAATAAAAATAGCGTGTAGAAATGTGAAAGATAGAATAAAAAAGAGTAAAAAAAAAGTTCACTTTTATTTTTCAAATAATTGCATTTTAGTACTGAAAAGAAATTGCTGCAAAACTGCTTCTTTAAGAATAATTCTTTGCAGATTAATTTGACAAAAATGAAAATTAACTCTTAAATGAGTTAATTAGTAAATTACTTCAATTTCTATTAAAATATTGTCAACTGTGACTAATAAATGAATTGTCATCATCACATTTTTGCCTATTTACTATTACTACTACTTACTTTAGTAATTATAATTCTTTCTTCCATTCTCTCTCTCTCTCTTTCTCTCTCTTCTCACTTTTCATTACTACTTTTCATTCAATTTTCTTCACTACTATACTATTTTGTGCTTTGCTTTCTGTATTATTTTTTTGATTATTATTTCTTTAGAAATTGTATTGCATTGCTTACTTTTGTAATACTAGTTAATTTTACTTACTTTTATGGAAAGTTAAATGTGAGTAAAAGTTTTTGCAGTATAATCTTTTCTAGCATTCCCATTTGTATCGGTCTGGCTACTTTTTGCAACAACACAATTAACCGGTTTTTCCACTTTTATTATTCTACCCTAAATCCCTCTAAGCTAGAACAAATGA